CCCTGGGTGAAGACGGAGACGCAAAGGTCCGCCAAGAGGGGGAACACGTCTCGTAGTAATAAGTGCATCGCTGTTACGAACAGGTGCATCGCTACTAGTAGCAAGACTATTAATACAAAACTCATTCAATTTAATATGTGCTCAATATGTTTGCAATAGTCCTCTCAAGGAGCAGAGACAATTAACTACCAACTATAGTCGTCCAAATATACTGGTTTGTAATGTTTGTTCGTCCAAAGTTTGTAATGTCTGCTCATGAATCAATTCGCATAGCTTCAATCTATTCCGCCACGGTTTGGAGCCAATTTCCCTGTCTATGGCCATTAGTCATGATGGTCATGTCTATGGAGTTCGGTGGATGCGGCACTCGGGCCATGCGAGCTCACCCATACCGGTCCATGTGCTCACCCATGCCCGTGCGCATTCTGAGAGACTTGATCAAGGAACATGCACACACCATCACATCACAGGCAGTCTGCCCACACCATCCGTCTCTTCCAGAAACCGGCCTTAGACTATCGACCCATGAAGATCTTGCGTCTCCGCTTCTTCAGGCTGGAAATCCAGGCCTTTTCTTCCAACTCTTCTACTCTCCACGTTCTGGCCACGCTTTTGTCCCTTCCCTCCACGTTTGCTCTCGGCTGTCCCATGTTTGCCCTCACTCCCCCCGACCGAACACACCGTGCCAACGCGTGGAAAACCGCGCGTTGGCAACACCGCGCGGAAAACCGCGACGAACGCGTGGTCGCCTGCGGACAGCCACAATTGAGATCGACCGCATCCACACTCTTGGGTGGCAGCAGCTTCGCGGCCTCAAGGCGCAATGGGCAAGCTGATGGCAGCGAGCTGATGGAAGCGGCCTACTGCCCAAGCAGAAAATCGGAATCCAGACATTCCTGTGACTCCCTTGCAGGGGACGACAAAGGAACCCCAAAACCGGGCGGTAAGATGAAAAGGATTGAAACCACGGGTTTTCCTTCTCAGAGTCCATGTCGTTTGCGGGGGGTTATATAACCAAACTGCTTAATGCGTTTTGGATTTGTTCGGCAACTACTCTGGCCGTACAAACCATTCTTTGCTTTTGCCAGAACTCACTCTCCACCTTTTTGGCTGTGCCCAATCCCCCCAAAAGCCTGTGCAGGTTGTCCACTTTTCAGACTGGGCAGGTTGTCCACTGCAACGGGAGAGAGTAGGGATGAGGGATGAGGGATGAGCGGCTTGTGGCGTCAAAAAGCCGAAGAATGGGCGACGTCAAAAATACACTCCGACGAACACATCACATGGGAGTGGAGGTCACCACCTGTTTGTATGCAGAAAATGGTCTTCCAAGGGACCATGCCATCCACTTCCATGTTAGTGCGTCGGAGTGTAGTTGGTGGCTTCCAAAGGGGGGAGAGCTGAGACACACAGTCTGGTCTTAGGGGGCCCTGAAGTCTCAAGAATGCAGAAGAAAGAACAAATCGATATCATGTTCCTAC